AAAAAAAGGACATTTTAACTTAAAAAGTTATATGTAATCTGCAATTTATTTTCCACTGTCTGAGTATCATTTACAAGACTGAACAACACTGGGCACACTGATTCATATCACGCAAATTTTGATCATTGATAAGACGACATGCGCAGAATCATGTGACCTTTATAGGGAATTGAAAGAACTGTTTTTATGAAAGAGGGGCAATTTCCCAGTCCTATACCTCTGCCTTGCGCCCTTTATAGTGTTTCCTGAAATGGAATTAATGCTCAATCGCAGAGCAGCTGCTGGCCGTGCTCTGCCCCGGTTCTTTCTGGAATACTGCTAGTATAGATGGACTTGTCCTTCTCCTCACCACACTTTTCCCTTCTCTGTCTTTTCTCTCTCTCCTATCGAAAATCAGAAAATGTTGTGTGTTGTGGGTTTCAATTCTCATCCTCACAAAAAATGCCGACCAAAAACAAATTGTCATCTAAAAAAGAAAGATCTGAGTTGTAGATAGTCCGTCGAGGAATTTCAGTAGTCGTAAACTGCCTGCATCAGCAGCAGTTCAAACTTCTTCAGTGCAGTAGATCCGGCTGAATAATACAAATGGTGGTTTCTGCAGGATTACGATAATTCTTGGCCAGACCAGTTTTGCAAAAGGAACATATGTTTTATCATGTTTTTATTAATCCTTTGCAGACTACACTTCTCAGTCGCAGAATGGCTTTTAGGGTGGTTCGAATTGTAAGAAATAATCGATTATTCGCACTAAACAACAGCGTCATGAAAGTGCAAGTGATTATCAGCACATCTTGCAGTGGTAGTTGATAAAAATAAGGCAAACAGCAAGAGCGCCAATAGATAAAGGAATAATCACTAACAAAACGATCAAATTACTGCCAGAACGCCTCCGCGTCTGATCCAACGTTGAGCCATCCTGCAATGCATCGAGGAAAAATTCTAGCTAATTATCCGTTGCTGACAAACAAACCTGACATTTGATCTTTAGGCTACATCTGACAATTCAACGCACTGGTAGCTTGGTGCACATGAAAACTTTAGAACTCGGTGAGCACTACAATCGGTTCATCAAAAGGCTCCTCCTACCTCGTGAAATGCGGGCGATTTCAAAACCTCCGTTGCGTGACCATTTTCTTCTTCAATGGAACCACGCAAGTACGCAAATGTGTTGCAAAAATTTTCTTCACACACACATACCTGGAAGCATTCCGGGATGAAGATATTTGGTACGAGAAGGACAAAGCACTATTTCATCCAGTTTTCTCATATAAGACAGTTATAAAGTATGTGCTGCATCTCAGTTCCTGAATGCATCACCCATCGCTTGCTCCCTTTTATTCAGTCCTTCCAAAGGATTCGTGAATCCATCAATGGATGTCAACCACTGGCTTTTGAATAACTTCTGGCATAAAGGGTACGTCCAATTAGAAGATAAGGAAAATCTTTAGCATTACATTTACCTCCTGCCATCCATTCCAGTTTTGCTGACATTTCGACAAATCCCGTATGTCCCCTGTACTGCTACATAACTGCTCTAAATGTGCCTGAGTACCTGCAAATAAGACTGATGCTTAGCAAAATTCAACCTGAAATCCATAGCGCTGACAGTAATTAGATAAGCTCACTGGCTGAAATGTAACAGATCTCGTCCTTCAGTAGTGAATAAACTGATCTGATCATGAGGAAACAGGCTTTACCTTCGTTTCGAAATCCAATTAAGCATAATTCGCCAGTACAAATTAACGAATCCTCGCAGTTTTGTTTGTCGCAGAAACATTTAACGGTAGTTTCTGCAATTTGCAAGCATTCACTAGGACTCTCAGCGAGAAACCTCGATGTTGCTGAGGTGCAAAAATGCCTATTACATAAATGCAAAGTCCAGCTTTCCAGGAGAGTTTATCGCCTCAACTACATCAATAATGCGAATAGTTTTCTTTTCCACAAATGTCGCTCGATGATACATGGGTTCTGGTGGCTGTGTTTGCTTTGTATGGTCGGATAAATGAATGAAATGTGAAGAAAAAATAATGACAAATGGCTGGCATTACGTGAACTTGACAATTTTACAAAACAGAGCAACTCTGGTAGTGTAATTTAAGCATTCGTAACAAGTTGCCTTGCATAGAACAAAAGCGAACAGCAATCTCGGGAATGAGAATGAGGCAGTTAATAGATAATGCTGTTGCATTCGACTGGCTCTGTGCCCTGAACAAATTACAGCAAAATCATACGACTGGGACTTTCACATGTGCTTGGTTTGAGAGTGTTACCAAGGCATTGCACAAATCCATCAGAAAGTCGTAAATCCTGAAGAATGAGGTAGTGCTTTTTGCTTTGTCAATAACAAATATATGATTGCAATCATTTTTGCAGGTGCATTTACTGATGCATTTTTAGTTGAAAGACTTGAGACAGCTCTTAAAATTCTTTACAAAACTAAATAAAATTTGTCACATAGATAAGTACGGCGCAAGTTCTCACCGAGATAACTAAGAGGTCAGTAGGAAGAAAGCCAGACACTCACCACACTGAATGTTTTCATTCGGAGAGATGCTACCACAGCTTTTCAGGCCATATGAAGGGAACCGGGAAATTTTCTGTCAGTACAGCTCGACTTGCACGACTTTTGCTCCCTACGGATCAGCGCACTTTTTTAACATTACATCCAGACAGAGTTTTAGTAACACTTAAGCAAATGCCCTCAACAATCATCAAAACAAAATATGTAGCTGTAATAAGCAAAAAGAAACACACTGAATAATATGTTGCTTCTGAGCCATACAGAAGGGAGATAATAAAGTGAGAAGAGCGACGAGGACTAAGGTCTTGCTCTGAAAAGCAGGGTGGATGCATTTCCAGTTTAGAATGCCGAATGCAAAGGCAAAGATCGAAACCGCCTTCGTTCTGGCTGATGCACGAATACGAATTTTTCCACCGCGAACCTCTTTAAAAGTCAGTGTATGTGGTCACTTTTTTGGAACCGAAATACAGGTTATTTTAGCTGTTTAAAAGGTCGTACTGCAAACGGCAAGGAAGAAGAAAAGTGAAAAACGGACAAGATGATACACCGCTTAATCAAGACTGCCGACTGGACCACAGCGGGAATTGCCGATGAAGACTAGAATGTCTTGAAGTTTTTTTCTCGTCGTCCCCTGTTTTATGGGAAAGTTTTATCCGGAAATAATTTTTCCTTCTAAGAAAAGAAACATAGCGGAAGGGAAAGGGCTTTATCCAGCAATAGCTGTGCAGCGAAGCATTGAATGCGGCGTCTCTTAGCCAAAAGTCAGTCAGAAATTACTTAAGCTTACATATAGTTTTTTAGGCTGAAATGACTTTTGATTATGTAA